CGCTTTCTAACACACCAATCACCTTGCAGAATTATGGACATTTAGAAAAATTCCGCCAATTGGAAAGTGCACCTAACAACTATTTCGGACCAGAGTAGTATCTATTACGCTGAAAAGCGAATCAAGCCCTTGCCGTTGCGGCTCTAGAACGGTGCATCCTCTGGAAAAGTGATTCGTGGACGATTTTTGCACTACGCCAATGAGAGCTGGAGTGATTTGGTGGCATAACGACCTGTCCAAGTACGCAGCTAGGTAAACCCCGCCCTCAAGACGGAAGCCACGAGGATGAAACAGACGAAACACCGGGAGTGGACAGATGAAGCACTTCTCCAACATTTCCGTTTGATCATTGATTACTAGGTAACCAACAGCGTGACATACCCTGTGCGGGTGTCATGCCATTCCAAGTAGAACTACTTGAGAACGTGAAGGGCGCAACTGTCCTGGCGATATTGGAATTAATCAAAGAATTCTGGCAGGTGCCACATGAAAAAGCGATCCAAGCCCATCGAGTTATGCAAGGACATGTCGATAGAGCATTGTACTTCCAAAAGTTGATGAATTATGACTGAGGATTACTGCTGTATAAACATCTCCTCGTCTGGATTGGTGATATCTTGTTGTACGCGAATAGCATCGCGAGTACCTGCGAGTGGTGGAGAAAATCCTTAACCTTGTAGAAATACACGGGCTTAAGTTGAAACCACTGAAATGTAGCCTCTACAACAAGAATGTGCAGTGGCGGCATAATCATTAACAGCAAAGGAGTCCGTCATGATCACAATCGACTGGGAGCCCTGTGTCAGATCCCGTTCCCAGTGAACGCTGGACAGTAGCAGCAATCCCTTTGTGCCGACGCCGCGGGATCGCAATCCATCATTTCGCACTCCGATCCAACGCCGACCGCAAGAAGTCGCTGGCATGTGCTAAGGCGATGTGGCAGATCGTTGACCATCACTCGCTACGATGTCGAGTTCGTCGGCAGCATGACGAGCTCGGGCAAAGGGTGCGCCGTGCTTGGATACCCTGGTGTGTACTCGCACGTGTCAGTCGCCCGCGTCTTCATGGAGCCCATCTTCCCTGTCGTTCGTCTCCAGTCGTTTTCTCTCGTCGGGATAGGCAGGCCTTGCTTTCGTCCGTGCTGCACCCAGTCGAGGCATACTGACATGGAATCGCACTTTCACGAACCCTCTCAATTTTGTCACTTCCGCATTGTTCGAACCGTGACGGTGGTAAATTGCGTTGTCGTGGAGAATGACAGGTACTGACTACGTGAAGACGCTTGTCGACAGCGCATGCCTGCGCGGTTTGGCTCAAGTTGTTCTAAGCAGTAATGTCGAGTATTAGCGTGCTGGGCTACAAGAATATTTCCGTCAGTACCTTTCGCAATTTTTCGTTCATTGACTTTAGGGTATAGGCATACGTGCACTTACACAGCAACCTCTCTTTAGGGCGTGTTCAGAGCAAAGCAATTGCCTGCACTTCTTGTCAAACCAAAATTTTTATGTGCGCAGATAGATATTACGCGCTCTGTAGAATATCGCCACTGCGACACGCTTCCCTGGAGATATTCTCACGGAACGTTTTAAGGGCGTCTTTTCCCACATACTTCCTCCGTCCCACAAAAATGGTGCGATTTTGAGGAGGGTGTACTGTACATGTTTTTATTACTGTCAATTTCAAAATGGTTTGTATCCATTCCTGTAGCATATTCGTAGTTCTGATTGGACGACAAGAAAGTGAGCGCCAAGAGCCTTAACTTGATGTGTCTGATGTAACGCGGACGACACTTTAACATGTCGAGTTTTGGAGCATGTTGACATGTAATACAATATCACCCTCAACATGCACTCATTCAACATGGGAACGGAAAGGCGGGACTTGACAAACGAGAAGCGCGAAGTCATTTAAAAAGTGCTTCTAACAAAAGTCGTGTTCCTCACGGCGGTTGCCCGGTCGTGGTACATCGGTGACACCGCATCATGGTGAGATGGCAAGATTGGCGCTTGGCCGTTCGTGGAGTTAGGCCTGGCCCAACGGACACGCCTGGATCAAATCGCGGGGACACGTGAGACGAAGCCAATGGTGGTGACAAAGGATGTATACCGATCGTTCCTGGTTGTGAAGGACATACCTACGGTTGTTCAGAAGTGGCCATCAGTGGACAAGTCTATGATCCAACACGACAATGCGCGGGTCCACATTGCGGTGGCGGACGCAAAACTCCGAGTTAGCCCAGTACAGAGCTCGTGGCTGGTCGTTCGAGCTTATCCTACACCACAGAACTCCTCCGACACCAACATCCTTGACCTTGGCTTCATTAAGTCGCTGCAGTCGCTCCAGTATTAGAAGTCTGCACGGGTGGTCGACGAGTTGGTGCTGCACATGTACAGTACATGGGGCGTTCGACGTGTACCCTTACGATTGCCTTGACCGCACCTTCTCGACCCTGCGATGCTGCTTTTTCGAGATCCTCAAGAGTAGAGGCGGAAACATGTCAAGATGCCACACATGTCATAGGACATGATGGCAAGACAGGGAAAATTACCTCAAAATGTCGAATGCCCCCGCGAGAGGTGTATGACATTAGTCTCTCAGTGCTCACAGCTGTGGATAGTGACGCCATGGAGCTCGAATCTGCAATCGAGGTCATCGATGCAATGGCTTTACGTGAGCTGTCCTCCCTGCTTGAAGACGTCTCACTGAGTGATCCTGATGACGTAGACGACATCATAAGTGTATTGCAATACATTGGTATTGAACCAAACCAATTCATATAGATGAATAGTTTGACGTTCATACATGTAGCGTTGCTAGTAGTCCGCTGTCTTGTTGTCGTAAGTGGGATGGTTGTCGGAAAAAAACCCTCCTGAATCGAATGGTGCTGGCGGAATTGAAGAATTCGGAAATTCAAGCAACAAGTGAGACAATAGGGTGATTTTGCAAATAGAATCCATACTCAGAAGTTTCCAGTGAGTTGAATTGGAAAATTCTCGAAAGTTTATGCTTTTGCTATCAGTATTTTTCACACTTGACAACCTCAATGGAGAACGTATACCCAGCCCTTGCTCTTCTTGCTGTCCTCCATGAGAGTTCATCACGCTCGCGCGCAATCAGTATACCAAGAAGTCGATTTGACCTTGCAAGCCACAGCGAACCGGACTGTCGATTTAAGTTCCGATTCAGCAAGGAACATATTTCTGGAGCTCGCAACCTTACTCGAGATTCCTGACCCATTCATAACGAAAGCACGCTATCGGACGACAGCGATTGAAGCGGTCTGCATTATGCTGAATCGCCTGGCCTGGCCACACCGTCTGGGATCCATGGTGCAGACGTTTGGGCGTAGCCGCGAAGCGCTATCATCTATCGCGAACGAAACAATGCTGCACGTATATCACCGATTCGGACATTTACTCGAATGGGACGAAGAACGCCTGAACGGCGCATGGATGGCGCAATGTGGACAAGCAATACACGCACGCGGTGCTCCACTGACAACATGCATTGGATTTATCGATGGCACTGTCCGCGAAATATGCCGCCCGGGAAAGAGTATTCAAAAGGCCGCGTACAATGGCCACAAGGTATGGAGGGTAATGAACCTGTACAAGGACTCACACAATGCTTAGCGTAAACACGCTGTCAAGTACCAAGCAGTGGCGTCGCCTGATGGGATAATTGTACACCTTTTTGGACCCGAGGCAGGGTCCCGGCATGATGCGTATTTGCTCGCACGGAGCGATCTCGTCAACAAGCTGCAACAAAAGCTCCTCATTGATGGCACTCGCTATGTCATATATGGCGACCCTGCGTATGGCATCAATGATGTCATCGTGTCAGGGTTCAAGGGAGCCAAGCTTACTGAAAGAGAAGCAGAATTCAACCGTCGAATGAGTGCTGTGAGGGTGAGCGTTGAGTGGGGATTTGGCATTGTTCGCAATTTGTGGACATTTGTCGATTACAAAGGGGGACAAAAGTTATGGTTGCAATCCGTTGGTGTGCACTACTGTGTTGCGGTTATTTTAACTAACCTGCACACATGCTTGAAACAGGGAAACCAAGTTTCAACCTTCTTTGGAGTTAGCCCTCCAAGTCCAAAAGATTACTTGTATTGCAAGAAATAACAATTGCATTTGTCATATTTTTGGAAATGGCTCAAACCAATTCAAGAGTTCCTTTTAGAAACTCGAGCTGTTCTAAGCGCTCTTGTTGCTCTAAGGAAAAACGAGCCTCTCGCTCAGCTTTGTCGAGGTGATACCTCTTTTCATCGAGTTCCGACTTCATCGCTGCAATTTTATTTGCCTCTTTCTGCACTGCAGTCTCTTGTACCTTGCACTTGTTGGCGCTTTCCATGAACGCTGCGATGGCATTTGTTGCTCCTTTTACAGAGCTTCGCTTTACTCTTTTAGCGGACGTTGACGAGGAGCCTTCAGTATCGCTGCTCTCGACTTCTGTGTCAGCAGTGCCGCGAGACATTGCCACCATCGTGGCCTCACGGATCATATGACCATCCGTCTCACGCTTGTCTTCCTTCTTTCCCTTCTCTTCCTTGAACGTTCGCTTCTTGTCTGCAATGGAATCAATCTAGTGAATTGCAGTGAGGTTGTTGTAGAATCATTGCGTTTGGCTTACCATATCGGACAGATCTTGAAGGAGCTGTTCCCTCTCATTGTAGTTCTCCTCTGTCCCGGAAGCACGCAGTGACGCAATGTTGTCTTTGTGAAACGCAACGAGCAATTCATCGCAGCGCTTTTGGCACCCGCTGGCTGTCAAGTTACTGGCGTAAATTGCCTGCATGTTCTGGCCAACTTCAGCCCACCTGGTACTCAGTTGACCGTACGGTGCATCGTGTGGTGAGACTGAAATGACCTCCTTTATGAGATCAACGTCTTGCTGGAGTGTAAACCTATGCGCTGGTTTCTTCTTGGCGCTCTTCATCACCTCTTCGAGTCAGGGATTGAAATACAACGACTGGTGAGTATGAAAACTTGTTTCCAGTGAGAAGCCTCTCACTGGAAAGTTGTTTGACCAAATTTGCCAGTGAGAACATATGTTGGTCCCACTGGCAACTTTCACTGGGAACTTTCCTGTCGCAAAATCACCCTAACATCTTAATATTACACCTTTACAATGAATGTTATGCACAAAGTATTATATCGTGAAGTATCCTGTATCTTTATTCAAGGAGGTATATGACCCAATTCTGAGTCTCGTCATTATTGTACTCCCTCTGTTCCAAAATAAGTGCGCGAATCAGAATTTTGACGTACGCCTCCTTGAATAAACTATCAAAACTCTCAGATCGAATACGTCTTTATGGAATTATACAATTGTAACGTTACGTTTGCCCAATCCAATGGCGGAATTGCTGAATTCCGTCCTTTCCAATCGATTCAGAAGGGGATTTACCGCCAGATCCCTTCTAACGAGCACAAGGACCATCCACAACACCAACACACACCAGAACGCGCTTACTCCTCATCATCTATACTACTACCTCTGTCCAGGGATGATTGCGACTGGCCACTGAAACGGTACTTCCAAATCTCTGATTGGCCTAAACGTTAGTGGAGGTGAAAGAGCTCACTTCAAGCAGCATGCTTGATTTGTTACGTGAATTATAGTATCCATTTCCC